CCTAAATCCTAAACCCTAAACCCTAAACCCCTAAACCCTAAACCCTAAGCCCTAAACGAAGCCTAAACCGTATTAACCCCTGAGAGCCTGCCAGGATAGAACGGCGAAGCTCTGAGCCCGCTTTCTTGGCACTGGAGCAGACGCTGCAGGACCAAGAACTTGGGCCCCCATCAGGGGTGGTTATAGGATCCTTAAGGGGGGGTGGTTCAAGGGGGGAGGGTACTAGGGAGCTTTGGGGAACCTTAGGGAAGCTTAGGGAGTATTGGGGGGGTGGGTTCTTAGACTTGGGGTTTAGGGTTGGGGTTTAGGGCTTAGGGCTTTGTGGGAGGGGAGTAGGGTTGCCGAAGGGTTCTTAGACTTGGGGTTTAAAACCCTAAACCCTAGAGTAGAAGCCAGAAAGTTGGAACATCATTGGCCTCATGCCCTTAAGGTAAAGTATAAGGGATCCTAGCACTAATCCTCCTAAAGCCATGTTCCAACTTTCTGACTTCTACTGTAAACCCTAAACCCTAGGGTTGGGGTTTAGGGCTTAGGGCTTTGTGGGAGGGGAGTAGGGTTGCCCAAGGGTTCTTAGACTTGGGCTTCAGTGTTTAGAGATCCAGGGGTATAGGTTTTTCGGGGTTTAGGGATTTGGATTTGGGGTTGAGGGGTTCGAGATTCATGATTTCAGTTTTATTGGAGTGGTAATTCGTGGGGCCCAAACAATTACCGATGCTATTTTGGGGGTTCCTTACCATTAATACAGTATAAAACCCTATTCTAATTATGAAGGCCCCTATCGTTATCAGCATCTTACTTTTCGAAGCTGCCCTTATTTACTGAAGCTCACATGCTCTGCTGCCGTTTAGTTTGAGGGCTGAGGGCTTCAGGGTTTTAGGATTTGGGGCTGAGGGTTTAGGGCTTAAGGGTGTCGGGCTTACACGTCTAGTCCAGGAGATTCGTTTTGCTGTTCGGTCTTTTTGCCTGGTTTGTGGGGTTCAGACGCCGACCGCGCTTTTTTTTGCTAGTTTGCATCCTCAAAGCCCTATTCGGACTACATCTACACTAGCTTCAATCGTCTATGTGCTCTCGTTGTGTGATCTCGTTGTGTGGTGCGCACGATGACATCCGAAGCTGGCAACCCTATGTCGTGCAACCATGCCATACACCCTACACCCCGCACTTGAGAACATGGCGATGGACATGGTCTTTTACCTCAGATCCTAGACCCGAAGCCCCAAACTCTTCAAGTGCAGAGCTCACTTCTTCAGTCCGAAGTTAGATACCGGAGATACTTGGAGGTTCATGGGAGTTCCAAGTCGGGTCAAAAGTCCCTAGGCCCTATTGATTATAGCTTATGACTATAGTTACCCCACTTATAACCCGCTTATAACCACCCATCAACCTCCAAGTAGGACGACTGAGTTCCAAGAAGTGGACCTCGCTGAGCCATGCGCCAACTTTGCCTTGTGACGCTGCCTGCCTTCGCCCTTGGCCCTACATCCCAATCCCAAACTTTCAACCCGAATTTCCAAACTCGTAACCCTACGTATGAAACTTTAGCTTGAGATGCTTGTCAGGAGAGGCGGAAGGAGCACGAGTTTCTGAAGTTCGACGAGGTTCTCACGCAGATTCTTTAGGAATGGCCCTATACAAGCTACCTTCATGGGTACGTACTGAGCTTATGCCCTGAGCTACTTGCAGCCTGAACCCTAAACCCGTAAGCATAGGGTTTAGGGTTTAGGTTTTGGGTTTACGGTGGAGCTTTATGAGCCGAAACAGAAAGCTTCAAACCTGAGAGCGGTATTTCCCCCAGCGCAACACCCGCACGCAGATCGCACGTAATTGTCGGGGTGAGCTGGAGACGCCCCTATACCCAGAGACTCCAGTATTCCAAGGATTATACCTTAAATCATATTAGGGTTCCTACAATGATTTTAGGTATATTCCTGAACTAAGGGGTTTTGCAGCCTCTGGGTAACCGAGACTTTGTATTAAGCTCCTAAGCCCTCCTAAGCCCTAAAGGCCTAACTCGTAAACAGCCAGCTTAGCAGCCTTCTCAGCTCCCAAAAGCAGAAGTCCTGAGAAGACAAGGCCCCGATCCGCGCCAAGCCTACACCCTAAACTTGCCCTAAACCCTTCTATACCCTGTACCCTCAACCCTAAACCCTGAACCCTGATCCCTAAATCCTGAACCCTAAACCCAAAACCCTGTACCCTCAACCCTAAACTCCTCTAAAAACAGGCCCCAAACTCCGTTAAAAAAGACCCTAAACTCCTTAAAAAATGCCCTAAACCCTTCTAAAAGCAGGCCTTAAACAGACCCTAAACTCCTTAGAAAAGGCCCTAAACCCCTAAAAAAAGACACCAAACTCCTTAAAAGAGACCCTAAACCCCAGGCCAGGGATCTTCTTTGGGAAGCCCTCGAGGCCGATCGCGGGCCCCAGGAAGGCGGGCAGCGGGGCTTTGGGGAGGAGGGTTCCTCCGCTTGGAGGGTCGGGGGACTTAGTTTTGCGGCTCCTTTAAGGGTTCCTCTAAAGCTTACCTGTAGCCGGAAAGGCTTGCTTTTTTTTAGGGAACTTTATACAGAAACCATAATAAGGAACCCTTATGAAGGATTCAGGGTCTGGGGTTTGGGGTTTATAGGGGTTCCTTTAAGGAGTCCTTTGAGGATTCCTTTAAGGGCCTCCTTAGGGGTTCCTTTAAGGGTTCCTTTAAAGCTTACATAAGTTTCCTTTAAAGGTTTCGGGTTCCGTTAAGGGTTCCTTTAAGGGTTTAGGTTTTAGGGCTCCTTTAAGGGTTCCTCTTATAAGGGAGGACTTCGGGTTTTGCAAGTTGGGGTTTGGGGCTTTAGGGGCTTGAAAGTTGTAAGATGTTTCAGAAATTTAGGGTCAACGTAAGGGGTTTAGCTTTTGGATTTAACGTTTATTATTTGGGGTTTAGGGTTTAGGGATTTAGGGTTGAGGGTTTACTGCTTTTCGGGTTCAAGAGTTTGAGCGTCTAGGTTCTGGGGATTAAGGGTTTTAGGGTTTGGGGTTTAGGGTTTCCCAGAAAGCGCAACACCCCTTGATTGAGGAATAAATTAAAATAGAAGGGGCTGCATATTCTGAAATAGGGCATCTTCTTGATTTGACAGGTGTTGGGCTTTCGAGGTCCAGTGTTTAAAGCTCATAGGCTTTGTGGATGTGTTCTGATAAAGGAATCAGGCTTTGGCATTGAAAAGTTGGTAGTTAAGGGTTAAGGGTTCAAGGTTTAGGTTTCGGGATGAACGTGTATGTTTTGGACGGCGGGGCTGTGCCCTACACCCTAATGCTGAAAGCCCGAACCCTAAACCCTTAACCTGAATCCCGAACCCTGAACACACGGTGCCCGGAGGCTTAAAGCCTAACCCCCCCGATAGTATTCACTTTTTGCGTCCTTTTTCTTGAAGCTCCCGGGAAGAAGGGAGGGACTCGAGTAGCTGCCTTGTTCGAGGGGTGTGGTTCTTCCTGAAGATGCAAAAGCTGCGAAATGGTCCGTCGTTTTGGGAAGTGCAGAGTCCCTTGCTTCAAAACCCATGGCAAAGGGTAAGCCCTAGGATTTTAGGGTTTAGAGTTTATCCTTAAACCCTAAACCCCAAATCCCAAACCTTTGCATGCCCCACCGGCTTCTTCGGTGCCCCGTGATCCAAAAGCTTCAGGACGGCCCTTGGTCCGATCCCTCTGCTTCACAATAGGCCCTGGCCGGTTTTGGGTTTTAGGTTTTTGGTTTCGAGTTTGGACTTCACTTGGAGGGTCGGGGGACTTAGTAACTACTTATTTTCGGGACATTATAAGTACCATAACCCCACTTAGGGTCCCTTTTAGGTTACTTATAACTCTACTTAACTACCTACTTACTAAGTCCCCCGACCCTCCAAGTATCCCCAACCCGGAGCTGTAGGAACAGTCGCAAAGCGTGGTTCTTGGCCCTGCCGGCTCCCGAAGCCTTCGACCCTGAATCTAAAACTCCAAGTACTCTGAGCCCTGAACAATCCTAAACCCTCAACCCTAGACCCTTCTGACCTTCGGGCTTGGAGAAAAGGAGCTCCAAAAAAAAACCCTAGACCCTGGTTCAGGTTTTGACTTGAGGTTGCACCTGGGACAGTAGTAGGAACGCTTTCCGGTCTATCACTTTCGGCTGTTTCTATGTCTCCATAGTTTATAAACGGGCTCTTGATGGTTTCGGTCTTTAGGTAATGTAGGAACCTGATTAAGAAACCCTGGGCCCATTATACTATATTCATAATAAGGAACCACCACAATAGTATTGGTACTTAGGCTCCTATAGTGCGCTAGAAACTTCCGAATACAAAATGGTCAATCGACCTTTCTGGATGCTGTGGATTTCTGCTGCCTCTGGAGGAAACGAGCTAAAGAGAAACCTCACACCCTAACTCTACGCTGAAACCCCTGACCGCGGCCCTTAAACCCAATATCGCTACTATCTCCCGAGGCCCTGGGTGTTGGTTGGTTGACTTAGTGGGGGACCGTAACTTGTTCCCTTTAAGGTTAGGTGCTCTGGGGCTAACTGCTTTCATCGCAAACTCCGACGAGCATAGGCTCCTGGTTTGAAAGCCGAGCTTGGGACAACTGCCGTGTCCAGTAGACGAATCGATTTTTCTCAATCGGCATGTGCCTCCGTTCTGTTGCTCAAAACTCTGAAGGGAACAGACAACCTCAAGTGTCAGCAGCCTCAACAGGCTGAGAAACTGGATGCAAATCTGGTTTAAACAACACCAGACATTCATGTGATTAGAAAGCATGGAAGTTTGAGCCTGAAGCACGTAGCTCTCGGCAGCTTGCTGGCAACGACCGCTGGCTGTCGAAGTGCTAGATACAAGCTTTTGGTTCCATGGACACGCAACCACTTTTAGAACTCTGACAACAAGCAGAAATGCACCACGAAATCTGCGTAATTACCCCCCAGCCACCCCCAAGCACGTAAGAGCACGGGCCCGTGCATAGTCGATCCATCTGCCGTGCGGCGGAAGCGTGCCGGCCATGACGACGCATGCGCAGGCGCTGATTGTCCTTCCTTCCGGCCTTCCAGTTCAGTGTACCGAAATCCTGTACTCCCAAGCTTCGAAGTGGTTTATGTCCAAGAAGGATGGCTGTCGCCAAGGGACTGCCAAAGTGTTTGATCCGTTTGGGCTGCTGCAGACGAGTTGCCAAGGGCGCATGTCTGCTTGCTACCATAAACCCTAAGCCCGAAACCCACGGCCACCCTTCTGCCGCGAGAGGCCCTGGCGCTATACTATGCGCGTCGCTAGGATGCAGTCACGCAACCTTCGGTGTCTTTGGGCACTGAACGGTCCAAGACATGCAGCTTCAATTGCGGTACCTGCCCACCCAGGCATCGAAGCCCTAACCCCTAGGCCCCAAAATCCTCAACAAGTCATAGACCCAGAGAGCCCAATACCCCGAAAATAAGGAATATATCAAATCATAATATGAAGCGCTATATAATTTAAGCCATATTCCTTAATTAGGGGGTATTGGGCTCTCTGGGGAAACCTTAGGTCAACCTTTTTGGAGCCTTCAAAAAGCCTTCCGCCCTACGGTGCAACCACTTATGAAACACTCAAAAGAGCCCTTGCAAGAATCCCTTAAAGGAGCCCTGAAAGGAATCCCTTCAACCCTAAACCCCTTCAGAGGAGCTTTAGAAAGAGCCCAGGAGAAGGCTACTACAACAAGGTCCAGACCCTTTGTGACGAAGAGGGTCGGCGAACTGGCGATGTGCCAATGCATCTCTGGAAGGTGCATGGATTTTTTGAGGTTTCAGAAGGGTCTGTAGGTGCTTATAGGGTTTTCTAGATTCTTAGTGTCTAGGGTTCAGGGCTTGGGCTTCGGGTTTAGGGCTTAGGGTTTCGGGGAGTTTTCTCTTGGAGGTCAGGGCTGGATGCTCGAAATCAAAAAAAGGCGGATTCACTGACTTCAGGATCTTAATAGGGGTCGGAACAACGACTAACATCATACCTCAGGCTTTCTCAATACATTCGGAGTCATATAATCCAGTATACCCCAAAGCCCAAAACCTCTATTACTCTCGAAACGACAAACGCCAGACCGCTTTTCTCCGCGCCCACAAATCCATACAGCACTAGAGTGCTGGAGCAGCAAGTCGCCACCATGCCGTAGACTGCCTTCACTTGGAGGGTCGGGGGACTTAGTAAGTAGGTAGTAAGTAGACTTATCAGTACCATACCTATTTGGGGTTATGGTACTTATAGAATAACCAGTTACTGAGTCCCCCGACCCTCCAAGTAGACTGCCTTCAACAGCCGAAGCCGTTTTCCTAAGCTCAAGACTCGGCAAAAGCCCAAACTCCTTACCGCCCCAACCCAGTCGTAAATGGTTGCGCTTAGAATTGAGCCCCGAAACCATCAGACCCCCAACCCTAAACCGCTACTCCTGACAACTACGGCATCCGAAGCCTCGCAATCTCGAAAGCCTTGCCCCCTCAGTCTCCAAGATCCCTTCATTAAGGAATATACCTCAAAATCATCTATATAAGGGATCCTACCATAAATGAAGGTATATAGATCCCTTAATTAAGGAATATACCTCAAAATCATTTATATAAGGGATCCTACCATAAATGAAGGTATATAGATTAAGGAACAGACCTCAAAATCATTTATATAAGGGATCTTGCCATAAATTTTGGTATATTCCTTACTAACTAAAGGGATATTGGAGTCTCTGGGACTGTGACGTACCTTTAGTGGTGTCAGGCCTATGCGCTGCACCGTGAGGGTAGCACTCGAGAGGCAATCCTGGAGGCCTGACACAGCTAGGGTTTAGGCTTGAGGGGTTTAGGGTTTAGGGGTTTAGGCATTTAGGGTTTAGGGGCTTAGGGTTTAGGGGTTTAGTTAGGGGTTTGGGTAAACCACGAATGCCTTTACATAAGGAGTTTGCCGAGCGAACAGTGCTGCTTGTAGCCATCTTCAACTCGCCTTTGTTATGAATGTTGATGCTGTTCCTTCTTGCACCTCTAGCATAGCAAAACCATGGCTGCCGCTACTACGCTTACTTGTAGTCTTGTTGTACTTGTGAATCTGACGTAGGAGCATTATAGGTATGAGTCTCCGCAGTATCGCTACTGGGCCAAGGGCTGATGTTTTTGTCGCTTTCGTTGCTTGCTGCTTATTCTATTTTCGACTGCCCAGCTCGCCTGGGAGCTTGAGAAAACAAGTAGCCCCCTGTAATGGGCTTTCTCTTAGTCTTGGTATTTAGCAACTTGTTGGGGTGTCGTGAGATTTCTAACTTTAGGGTCGTTTTTGGAACTCTGATTTTCTGATGCTGCCTTAGAGTTTCTCCAAAGGGTAGTATCCAGAATATGAGAACAACGGGCCGCGAGTTCAAAATCCTGGAACCTTGCAGAGAGCCTTGTTGGAGGGTCTGGGGACTTAGTAACTGGTTATTTTAGGGACTTATAAGTACCATAACCCCAATAAGGGTCCCTTGTACTTATAAACCTACTTACTACCTACTTACTAAGTCCCTGAACCCTAAACCCTAAACTACCCTTATAGAGACCTTTAAAGGAACCCTTAGACTCCCCTTTAAAGGAGCCCTTCCTAAGTCCCCTAAAGACCCTCCCAAGTTTCTTTCGAGGCCGAAGGCTGCCTCCAGAAGCGTACCTTGGCATCACTCAGCTCCCCAGAGACTCCAATATCCCTTAATTAAGGAATATACCCTAAATTATAATAAGATCCCTAATATTGATTTAAGGAATATTCCTTTATTAAGGGATATTGGAGTCTCTGGGTCAGAGGGTTTGAAAAGGATTTTTCATTCTCCTGTGAGGCGGATCTGGGCTGATTGGGGGAGGGGGGAGGGGGGGGGGTGCGGGAGGAGGCAGGGGGTGTTGATGGCGCTACGATTCAAAGAGGTTTTCGGGGTGGTTTAGGTTGTTTTAAGCTCCCCGGAATGGAAACAGGTTTTGATCGCGTTGGACTTGGGAGGACAGGCAAATGCAGCAGCCCTCGTGAGAGCTAGGGCATCTGGGGCGGGGGCTCAGATGCTATATAAGGATAGACTCTGGATCCTGCTTGCAGTGCTTACCCCCCAAAAACCATAAGACCCCAAACCCTAAACCCTAAAACCCTAGGTGACATGGGGCTCCCCTTTGCCGTCGCCCTCTGCTACTTCCACGAGCAGCTGGCAATGGTCGACCACGATGCTGCACCCTGGCTTCCAGCGGTTTAGGGTTTAGGGAACCCTAAACCCTAAACCCTAAACCCTAAACCCTAAACCCTAGGTGTTTAGGGTTCACGGCTCCAGAGACATGTTTTCAAGTTTGTTCTTATGTGCTCAGGGTTGAAGCTCAGGGTTTCGGGTTTCGGCTTTGCTCTTAATAAGCTTAGGGCTTCTGGAGTCATTTTCTTTCAATTTGCCTGTTATGTCCTGACAGTTGAAGCTTAGGGTTCAGGGTTTGCTCTTACGTTCTTAGCTTTGATTTGGAAGATATCTTTTCAATTCGTCTCTTATGTCCTGAGGTTCTAGGGTTTAGGATATAGATCTTAGATTTTAGCGTTTAGGGTTCAAGGTTGTTTAGAAGCAGTTTTCATAGACGAGTTACATCTGTTTGGTGATTTCGCCAGCTTTTCTATTTCAGTATATATGTATATATCTAGACTTTCGTGCTTCTGGGTTTCGAAGTCAAGGGTGTGCTTTAGGGCTCAGCGTACGGCGTACAGGGTATGACGATCTTTAGGGTTTAGAGGTTCAGGGTGCAAGGTACATGGGGGTTCGAGGTTTAGGTTATAAGGTCTGGGGATTAGTGTGTCTCGAGTTTACATGCGATGTGGCTGCGGCTAGCATGAGTTAAGCTCTGTATCAGGAGTGATGACCACTCCTGTTCTGCTTGTCCTTGTGACTGTGCCCGTTGTTTTGCTGTCCATGTCCTTGTTGCTGTGATGGTTGAGCTCTTACGCTCATGTTCAAGTTTGCTTTTTTGTGCATCCTTGCGAGAGCTGAGAGGCCAGAGGTCCCTGCAATTTATTTCTGCACCTTATGCATCTGGCGGCACCAACAGTTGTAGCCTGCTTTGGTGTTCAAAAGTCTCATGCTGGCAAAACGGCAGACACAAGCCGAGCCGAACGTCGACCTGACCTGGGCGTCGGTTTTCACAGCGGACGGCGTGGAAAGTGCCACTATGGAGATGCTGAGACCTCTACTTCAGGCGACGCAAATCGGGCGTAAACCGTAAACCCGAAAAAGCCTTAAAACCCTGAATCCTAAGACCCTAGACGGCCCTAAACCCTTAAACCCCTAACTCCTAAACCCTAAACGGTAAACGGCCCTGAACTCTAAACTCTAAGCTGTAAGACCCCCAAACCCCTGAACCTTGAAACCCAAACCTTATGCCCTACGACCCTAAACCCCTAAACCCTCAACGGCCCTAAACTCTAAGCCGCAAGCCCTGGACCCCAAACCCCACGACCCTCAAACCGCTACGCCTTAAGACCCCAAATCCCTCGCACCCTAAATCTTAAGACCCCAGATCCCTTAAATCCCAAGCCCTAAGCCCCTAAACCAGTTGACGCCGAAATCCCTAAACCCAAAGTCCTAAGACCCCGAAACCCCTAAACCCAAAGTCCTAAGCTCCCTAAACCCCTAAAGCCCCGAAGTCCTAAGATCCCTAAACTCCAAGTCCTAACACCCGAAATTCCGAGGTGCGGGACATGTCCGTGCGCATCTCCCAGGAGCTCCCCTCGGCGCCCGAGACCACCAAGGCGGCGAATGCAATCTGAAAATTGAAAGACGGATTAGTGGGGTTTAGCGTTTACTAGGACTTACAAGGGTTAGGAGACGGATTAGTAGGGTTTAGGGTTTACTAGGACTTACAAGGGTTAGGAGACGGATTAGTAGGGTTTAGGGTTTAGGAGGACTTACAAGGGTTTAGTAGGTGATTGTTAATTAGTAGAGTTTTGGTAGGGTTTAGTAGGGTTTAGTAGTTTTGAATAGGGTTTGGTAGGGTTTATATAGTGGGTTCAGTAGGCTCTAGCAGAGTTTCGTAGGGTTTAGTTTAATGCGGCTCAAGCTTCAAGGTTCAGGGTATTTGTTTAGGGCTCCATTTCAGGGCTTAAAGCAGTTCAACCGGAGGGTTCCACCAGGGGGCGTCGCAAGGGTTCTATGTGCTTGCTCGGAATTTCCATGCGGGGCGCAGTGCCACCTCCAGTCCAAGGGTGTAAGCTTGGAAACCAAGATTAGAGGGGAGTTTCCGAAAATAGGGGACCCTAAGATACCCTACGTAGTAGGATCCTTGTTACAGAAAAAGGACCCCAACATAAGGTACCCCTAATTTTCGGAAACCCCCGGATGCTTAAAAGTCCAGCGCTCCGGAAATGCCCTGCGTCAGCCCTTTTCTGTGGCGGCCATCTTTCCCGTCACCATAAACCCTAAACCCTAAACCCTAACCCTCAAAACCCGTTTCCGCATTCGTGGAAGGTCCTAGCTGCCCGCTTCTACACGATGGTGGGAGAGGTGGAAAAGGCCCAGGAGGTGCCACAGGGGTAGTTCTTAAAGGGCAATCCTCCGATTTTGGGTTCCTTGTCGATCCTGAAAAAAGGCTTCGCTTGAAAAATGTTGAACCCTCAATGCAAGCCACTCGTTGTTATTGTCAGTGATTGCTTACTGCGGTTGCTTCTGAAGTTCGAGTAGTTCGAGTAGCAATGTCACAGTGTCGTCTTTACTTATCACTGTTGTTGTTGACAGTCCTTGTCGAATTGTGCTGCTTTTGTGGTTCATGTGCATGATAAACTGATAACCGTCGGAATGCTAGATGCAGTGACAAGGGTAGCATCACCATCAGGAATGGCAGGCACAACGGAATGGACGCTGACCATACATATCAACCGTAATCCAACGAGTTCAGATGCCAGCAGCACGACCTTGATCTTCATACAATTGCCAGTATGGGGGTGTCCGAAAATCGGGGATCGTAATATAGTACCTTAAATAGTAGGATCCTTATTGTAAGGACCCCAAAACAAGGTATCTTAATTTTCGGAAACCTCGTATAGCAACCAGTAGATCTAAAGCGCAGACTTCCGGGTTGCCCCAACCGCTCAACCCTCGACTCGATGTGAGCTCTTCAGTGATGGAGTTTCCCGTGTCGGGATGGAGGATAACCTGCGAGAATGCTGAGGCACTCTCCTGAATCTGGGCTGATGTAGACCTCCGATTCATCAGCCCACTTTCTTTAAGGGGCCTAATATCAGGATCCCGACTTTAATCCCTGTAAAAGAGAGCCCGTGTCTTAATCTGACTTCTGCAGCACCCTAAGCCCTGCACCCACCCTGCAAGCCCCCCCGAGTCCGAAGCCCTCTTCGAGTCCGAAGCCCTCTTCGAGTCCGAAGCCCTCTTCGAGTCCGAAGCCCTCCCCAAGTCCGAAGCCCTTGCAGATGCTTACGGCCATGGACGGCAGCAGCAGCGCGGCCGTCTGCGCGGCCAGAGGTTGGAACGCATTCGCAGCGGGGCGGAAAGCTGCTAATCAGCATCAGCCGGGTTTAGGGTTTCGGGCCCCTAGACCCCAGAAGTACCCGGTTATTCCGTCTTGGACCTAACTAGTTCTGGGGCTTGCGATTCAGGTTTAAAGAGTTACGGCTGGCAGGGCTCAGGGTTTAGGTCTGGGCTGGTGGAAACTTATCGAGTGTTTTCGTGCAGAAATAGTGATTAGTGGTAATAATAGCAACAGTGGCAGTAGTAATAGTAACAACACTTAAAGTAACCGCACCTTGCTGCAACATCCTTCCGCAGAATGTCCCGAAACCCTAAACCCCAAACCTCTAAACTCCAAGACCCAAAACCCTAAACCCCAAACCCTAAAACTATCTAAAGCCATAGAGGCTTTCTTCAGCAAGCCCCGGACTGAATGCGACCCTGCACAGCCTTGTAGAGGCTTCGAAACGACCTTCTACATTCTTTAAGACAACCCTAATATAGTGACCTTAGTAACTACCTCTACTATTTTAGTTTTTCCTTTTGTTATTATAGCATAATGGGCCCAAAACCCTATTCTTCTTGTTAAGGCCGCTATATTAAATCATGGAACTCTAAATCCTCACATTTTAAAGAGAGACTCCGCACAATCCTCAATTATCGAACCCTAAACCCTTCCTTGTTACATAAGAGACTCCAAACAAGCCTAAATTATCCTACCCGAAGCCCCTGGAACTGTTATAAGAGACTCTAAGCATCCTTACATTCTTGAACCCTAGCCGGGCGTCAGAGCCCTGCAGCCACGGAAGCCATGCGAAAGCGGTCGGAGTTTCAGGGCTTGGGGTTTTAGGGTCTAGGGGTTTCGGGTTTAGGGGTTGAGGGTTTAGGGGTTTAGGGTTTAGGGTTCCCAGCCGAGGCTAATGCTGCGAGCGGCAAGCAAAGCAACGCCTACTTGGAACAGTGCCTTGCGATGCAGGGGAGTTGGATGATGCGGGCCGAAACCTTAAGCCTTAAGCATTAAGCCAACCCTAAACCGTGAACCCCACAGCGGCTAACCCGGTTTCCAAGGTTCAAACTGCCTGCAAGTCAGATGCCCATGGGTCTCGCCCTCTGTAGTGGAGGGGCCTCAATCCACTTTGGGGGTTCCTTAGTATAGATAGAGTATAATGGACCCAAAAAACCCTGTTCTAATTTATTAAGGCCCCTATAGTAGAGCTATGGTTACCTGGATCTCCCGAACCTGGCCCTGATGTTCCTTCGCCCGCTTCCGTGAACCTGGGTCCGTTTTAGGGAACCTAATGTAAGCTACCATGATAGGGATCTATAGTGAATAACAAGGCTTCCCTATTATGGTAGCTCCAACTAAGTACCGAAACAAGCTACCCTAAACCCTCAACCCTAAATCCTAAACCCTAAATCCTAAACCCTCAACCCTCAACCCTAAACCCTAAACCCCAAACCCTAAACCCTAAACCCTCAACCCTAAACCCTCAACCCTAAACCCTAAACCCTAACTCCTAACCCCTCAACCCTCAACCCTAAACCCTAAACCCCAAACCCTAAACCCTAAACCCTCAACCCTAAACCCTAACCCCTAAACCCAAGCAAGCACCCAGCATCGCGGAGGTGTGGAGCTCACTTCGACAGCGCCTGCGGCACGGGCGCCGAACTCGAGAACCTCGACGGCCTCATGGGAAAAGCAAAGGCCTGGTCTTTATAGTGCTCTCAGGAATAAACAAGAAAAGAAGGAGGATAATAATAATAATAATAATAATAATAATAATATATAATAGTATCAGCAATAAATATAATTATGATGATTATTATTAATACTATTATTATTATTATTGTTATTATTCATAGTGCTGTTATTGTTATTTGCTTGTTTTTGCATGGCTTGTTCCTATTTAACAAATTGTTGTAACAAAGCTCCAGCCGATTAAATAGTATTTTCCTCCTTCACCTCTGTTATAACAGATCGCCAAAAGATTATGGACACATCCATTAGAAGGGGCCCCCACCCTGCAATAGTGGTATAATCGGAATATAATAGGGCCCTAATATAATCCTTATAGTCACTATTACAGGGTGGGGGCCCCTTCTGAGACACATCCATGTTTTCAGCATGGTGCTAAGGGCCCCTTTTTGGGGTCTGTGGAGCTGATGCCTGATATGTGAGGGTCGGAAGAACTAGTACTTAGGGGTTTGGGGTTTAGGGGTTTAGGGCTTAGGGGTTCAGGGGTTTCGGGGTTCTTGGGTTTAGCGGTTTAGGGGTGTAGGGTTTAGGGGTTTGGGGCTCAGGGTTTTAGGGGTTTAGGGTTTTAGGAGTTTTGGGGGTTTAGGATTTTGTGGTTTAGGGTTTAGGGTTTTGGGCTTTGGGGTTTGGGTTTCTGCATGTATAGTCGTATAGTTAGACCACAGTGGACCGCAAAGCCTTATTGTTATTAACCCAGAGCGCCCAATACACCAATGCCCCTTAAAGATTATACCTGAAACCATCGTATTAGATCACCTATAACTGAATACATATTTCCCAAATTCAGGGGTCCCTGAACCCTAAACCCTAAGCCCCAAAGTATACTCCCCAAATTCAGGGGTATGGGGCTATCTGGGTCGTATTCCCTATCTTACAGGTTGCGGGCATCCGAAGCTCCACGCTCAAAGCCCGAACCTACTGAGCCCCGAAATTCGAAAAGCATAGCTCAATGGTCTAAAGTAACAGCCAGAAAGTTGGAATATGGTTTCAGGGTAGGATACCTTATAATTTACCATAAAGGCAAGGGCTTAGGAGAATCATATTCCAACTTTCTGGCTTTTACTGTAAACCCGTAAGTTAGGGCTTAGGGTAAGTTCGGAGAGGCCTACGAAGACATCGCACAAACTCAAGGACCCAAGACCCTAAATCCCTAAACCGCTACGCCATGAAGCCCTGAATCACTGCCCTGCAATCCCAAAACTCATAAGCAAAGGCCCGACAGTATGAGCCCAAAAGTTGCCAACCCAATAGCCTTAATCCTTAAGAGTAATATAAAGGGAATCACAACGCAAGTTGTCTTTAATTGGGGGTTTCCAACTTTTTTGAGCTTACTCCCCCGCACCCTAAACCCTGAACCCCTCTACCCCACTAAACCCTAAACCCTCAACCCTAAACCCTAACCCCCCGCCCCCCGCCCCCCCCAAAGCCCACCAGATTTGAAGAGCTTCGGCGCAGGTCCTGGAAGGAAAGCGCCAGTGGGCCCAAGCCCTGGATGCCCTAAACAAGGCTGGTTTAGAGTTTGGGTTTAGGGTTTTGGGTTTTGGGGTTTGTTGTTTAGGTTTAGGGTTTAGGGTTCGCCTCCGATCTGCGTTTGTTTTTAAGGCTTCGGCTGCAGGGTTCAGGTCGACAGAGGCATGGTTCATGAAAGTTCAATTAAGGGCGAGAGTTGCATGTGGGAGTTTCCGAAAACAGGGGACCCCAATCTAGTACCCTAAATAGTAGGATCCTTATTATAAGGACTTAGGGTTTAGGGTTTAGGGTAAATAAGGTGCCCCTTATTTTCGGAAACCCCCATGTGTACAAAGGCTGGATCGGACTTTGGGTCGAGGGGCGAAGGGCTTGCGGCTTGGGAGTGTTTCAGCACTGGACTACAACAACAACTTCTACTACTACTACTACTACTACTACTACTACTACTACTACTACTACTACTACTACTACTACTACTACTACTACTAGTACTAGTACTAGTACTAGTACTAGTACTAGTAGTACTACTACTACTACTACTACTACTACTACTACTACTACTACTACTACTACTACTACTACTATTACTACTACTACTACTACTACTACTACTACTACTACTACGGCTAATTCATTGATTCGGTCATGTTTGGTGGTCTGGACCTAGCAGCCTAAGCACTAAACCCAAACTCTCTAAACCCTAAACCCCGAGCCCTAAGCCTAAAACCCAAGCCCTAAACCCTAAGCCCCAAAGCCTAAAGCATGGAGTGGGAACCCGAAGATGGGCAGGTCATCGTGATGCATGATTGGTTTCTACCGGCTCTCATCGAGAAGGCCAGACCCCTTTAGGGTGTAGGGTTTACGGTCTTTTCCAGAATCCCTAATGACCATAGCGTCGAAAGCTGTAATGTAGGGATCTTGAGAAATTCGAACACGGTGTTGGGACATTTTGTGCTGTAAGGATATAGGGACCCTGGGATAGTATGAGTAATTACTCGTCCCCTCTGAGAGATTTGTCGTGCTGCATGAGGATGCTGTTGACGTGTGCCGTGCAGTGAGGGATGTTGCGGCGCGAAGGGGTGTGCCAGTCTTGCATTGCATCAGTGCTGCCGGATGTGGTGGTACTTGGGGGTTCATTGGTAGTTATAAGTGGGCTTATAAGTAGGGTGACTGTAAGCACAAATCATATTACCGGACTTATAACCCTACTTGCAACTTGCAGCAACCCGCGAACCTCGAATTATGAACAAGGGACCTCAATTTGCGGTTGAGTTACAAGACAACTGCATGCATCGCACCGAAGAGAACAAACCGCTGGCGAATATGATGGTGAGGATGCAAGGAATGGAAGCGCACATGGTTTACAATTCCTGTCGAAACTGTCTTGTTCCAACCCTTCTTGGTTTTAGTTTCAAGATCCAGACTGGGTGGACATGTTTTGTGGGAGTCCAAACCCCGCCCTCTCACCGCATAGACACGAACGTTCTTCAATGGATGCCACGGCACGCATGATTCTCTTACGATGGAAGCACCAGGCAGCGTGAGAGCTCGTATATTTGGGGCGATGATGATGATGATGGTTATGATGGTGATGATGATGATGAGGATGATGATGATGATGATGATGATGATGATGATGATGATGATGATGTTTTTGTGAGGGTGATATGATACTGTTGCCTGATGTTGTTTGTAAAGATGCTGGTGTCACGATGATGACTGATGACCACAAGGATATTGATGCCGTCGTTGTTGTTGAAGATGCTGAGAGCAGAACGGATGACACCAGTGTTCACTGTGAGCTGAAGATCGACACTTTGCCTGGTATGATGGTGTTCCGGCATGGTCGTCAACGCCAAGCTTTTAGGACAGTAGGATGGCGCCAGCGGGGAATAACAGCAACACGCATCCACACCACCTTTACATACATAATTTCCTTGAGTTGAAGCTGCTAGGCCAAGACGCTGATGATGACGGCAGACTGGGATCAAGCTCTTGAGGCGCGCTTGGCTACCGCGTATTGTGCTTCGGTCATTGAGTGGAACGGTCCGTGCTTAAGTCCGGTGCAATCATCATCATCATCTTTATCATCTTCATCGTCGTCATTATCAGGGCATCATCATATCATCTTTGTCTTATTCTTTTAAGTCTTGTTACCGGCATCGTTGTTGTCGTTCTTATCGAAACCGTTGCCAGCATCATAACCAGATCGCTTAAGCACCTGTCACCACGACCTTCATCATCATACTTGTCGCAAGCATCATCATCTCAGCCAGTCATCAGTGAGCAAGCATGACAACATGAGGTACCAACGCCAGCTAAAGGGAACGGGGTGTACATGAGGCGTCATGTTTTCAATACTGCCTTTCCCACAGAGCTCCATACCCTGCAATGAAGGAATATACCTTAAACTATATTTGCCCTAATACGATGGTTTTAGGTATATTCCTCAAGAGATATTGGCATATTGGGCTCTCTGTGTCAGTAGAAATACTTAGCTTCAATAATGCCTTGAATTCTAGTGGCCTTAACAGTACGGCTTCCTTAGTTGAAGGGTATTGGGCTCTCTGGGTACCCAGACAACTGAAGCAGTGCTGGCCTCGCTTAGCGTTTAGGGTAAACACTACTTCCTTTAAAGGGATCTATAGGGATTCTTTAAGGGTATAGGGTCTAGGGTTTAGGGTTTGGAGTACTTGGAGGTTCGGGGGACTTAGTAACTGGTTATTTTCGGGACTTATAAGTACCATAACCCCAATCCTATTTAGGGTACTTAGTACTTATAAGTCTAGTTACTATCTACTTACTAAGTCCCCCGACCCTCCAAGTGTGCCCCAACGCGCACATGCTGTATCCCTAAACCGCAAACTCTGCAATCCTAGCACCGTAACACCTGGATACCCCAAAACCCAAACTACACTCCAAAGCCCCAGCACTCTAATGCCCTAAACCCTAAATCCGAAACCCTAAACTCTAAACCCTAAACCCTAAACCCTAAAGCCCTAAAGGCCCTTAGGACCCTCCTGCTCTGAGCCTTCGATCTGTTGCAGGCGGCCGGGCGACTGCAGCAGCAGGAAGCCAACAACATCGACTCCCGCCTTCCTTCGGTTATTCCTGTTTTAGGGCTTCAGGGATTTAGGGTTCAGGGGTTTAGGGTTTAGGGTTTAGGGTTTAGGGTTCAGGGTTTAGGGTTTAGGGTTTAGGGCTTCAGGCCCAGTAGTAGGGGTACCTTTAAAGGGATCTATAAGGGCTCGTTAAAGGGATCTATAAGGGTTCTATAAAGGGTTTAGGGTTTCCGAAAATTGGGGGCTAGGATGCCCAGTAGTACCCTTATTCCCGTTTTGTAGTCCTAAGTTCCTTATAAAGTTACCCCTTTTTATTCTTAGGTTACTGGGTATCCTAGTTAATACTGTTTAGGGCTTCAGGGTTTTAGGGTTTAGAGTTTAGGGCTTCAGGGATTTAGGGTTTTAGGGTTTTAGGGTTTTAGGGGTTTAGGGGTTAGGGTTTTGGGGGTTTTGGGTTTTAGGGAGTAGGGCTTCAGGGTTTTAGGGTTTTAGGGTTTTGAGGTTTGGGGTTTTAGGGTTTTTGGGTTTTAGGGGTTTAGGTTTAGGGCTTTTGGGGTTTTAGGGTTTAGGGAGTAGGGCTTCAGGGTTTTAGGGTTTTGGGGTTTTGAGGTTTGGGGTTTTAGGGTTTAGGGTTTATGGCTTTAGGGTTTCAGGGCTTGGGATATAGGGTTTACCCGCCTTTGTTCGATCTAGGGGCTTCTTGGGTTTCAGGGTTTTAGGGTTCAGGGTTTGAGGGCTTTAGTCTAAGACATGTACAGGTGGGTAGTTATAAGGTGGGTAGTTTCCCATAAGCCTCCCATACCACTCCCATAAGGTAAAGGGGGTCTTATGGGAGTACTATGGAAGAAGAACTACCCACCTGTAAGGGGCTTCTATTTAGGGTTTCCAGGGTTCGCAGAATTGTAGGGACTCCCAGCTTGAGTCGACTGCTGCTGCTGCTGCTGCTCTAGGGTTTAGGGTTTAGGGGTTTAGGGTTTAGGGTTTAGGGTTCAGGGTTTAGGGTTTAGGGTTGAGGGTTTAGGGTTGAGGGTTTAGGGTTTAGGGATTCAGGGCTACGACGACGACGACTGCGAGCACGAAGACGACGACGACGACCACGACCACAACTGCCACTACTCACTGCTCCTCGCATGCTAGCTGCTAGCCACAGTCATGATTCCTTTTTTCCTCGACACTTGGATGCCAGGTTTTGGGCTTGAGGGTTTCTGGCGTTGACTGTGCAGCCTGGACTCCGAATTACAACCCAAGCTTTGAGCTCCGATGGACGTAAACGGCCCGGCTTGGAAAGCAACTCAAACTCTACAGTATATCAGAGTACCTTATTGAATATGATAGGCTATGATAGTAGATGGTATTACGGTATGTTCTAGTATATTATGGTATAGTGACACAGGCATTAAAGCAGCACTTGGAGGGTCGGGGCACTTAGTAAGTATGTATAGGGTTATGGTACTTATAAGTCCTGAAAATAACCAGCTACTAAGTCCCCCGACCCTCCAAGTAGTACCCCGAAAGATCTCTTATAGTAGCCCCTATAGACTCCTTTATTCTAGGGGCTGCGCCCAGGTGCGGGCAGCGCGAGTTGTTGTCAGCGGATGTAGCGGGGGAACGGGAAAGACACGGTCAAAATTTCCAGACGGTGCCGAGACAACGACAGCTCGACACCGGAAAAAAAGTGTGACGTAGGCCCGAAGTGCACAACTTATGGGTGATCTTAGGCTCTTAGCCCTCGTCGGCCCTCCATGTAGCCCGCATCCGCCCTCCGCCGGACCCCGCTGATGCTGATGATGCGCGCCCTTTTGGGGCTTCCGCAACCCACGCAAAAACTTGGAAATCATCACTTCGCGCCCACTTCGCGCCGCGGGGCCGGTTGCGGGCGCCCGAGTGCTCATGATGCTCGCCGGCTCGCCTCCTGGGGTCGTCCACGGCGGCCCCGAAACCCGCCATGCCGTGGGGAATGGCTGCGAAGCGCGTGCGCGTTCCGAGACGCCTCCGGGCCAGGGCCCGCGCGGCCCGATGGAGAAACGGAGGTCCGATGATGCGGGGTCGGCGGCGGGTCGGCGGCACAAGCCGTCGTGGCTTTTGCTTCGCAGGAGAAGGCAATTCGTCTGAGCCATAGCTCAGTCCATACAGGGCAGCGAAGCGCTGCCCGATTTATGGGCTGCCGCCACTGCCGCCGACCCCAAAAGAAGAGAGGTGACTATCCAAGGAACGCAGCAGGTGTTGAAAGCAGCCACTGCAAGTCTTGTAACTGGCACGAGTAGCATGAGCACATGACTGATGCGGCGAAGTATTCGGACTGACGCAGTGCTCAGCTCTCGGACATTGTGTGCGCATGTTTCAGCAACCTTGTGACTCAGAGGCAAAAGGCATCCGCACAAAACCGAGTTTAGCAGGAGGGCTGTATTCGATATGCTTAAGATACGGAACCAGTGCAGTTGTGGCCATGGGATGGTACGACAAAAAAAGTCGCGCGCGCGGCGGCGCATCGCAAAGCCGGGGCGGGCAGTGAGGACAATAAAGGTAGTGAGGGCGGTGGGGGCGGTGTTGGCGGTGGGGGCGATCGGGGTGGTGGGGGCGGTGTGGGCGTAGGCGGTGGGGGCGGTGTGGGCGGTGTGGCGGGCGGTGTGGGCGGTGGGGGCGGTGGGGGCGGTGTGGGCGGTTGGGCGGTGTGGGCGGTGGGGGCGGTGGGGGCGGTGTGGGCGGTGTGGGCGGTGGGGGCGGTGGGGGCGGTGGGGGCGGTGTGGGCGCGGGGGGGTCCGGGTTGGCAGCCTTTAAAACCTCTTTACTCTTTAAACACCTACAAATACAGCGGGCGGTGAGAGCGGTGGAGACGGTGTGGGCGCGGGGGGGTCCGGGCACACATTGGCAGCCTTTAATTACTCTTTAATCTTTAAACACCTACAAATACAGCGGGCGGTGAGAGCGGTGGAGACGGTGAAAGCGGTGGAGGGGGATGAAGGTGGTGGGGGTGGTGAGGGCGGTGAGGGCGGTGTGGGCGGTGGGGGCGGTCGGTGTGGGCGGTGGGGGCGGTGGGGGCGGTGTGGGCGCGGGGGGGTCCGGGCACACATTGGCAGCCTTTAAATACTCTTTATAACTCTTTAAACACCTACAAATACAGCGGGCGGTGAGAGCGGTGGAGACGGTGGGAACGGTGAAAGCGGTGGAGGGGGATGAAGGTGGTGGGGGTGGTGAGGGCGGTGAGGGCGGTGTGTGGGCGGTGGGGGCGGTGTGGGCGGTGTGGGCGGTGGGGGCGGTGGGGGCGGTGTGGGCGCGGGGGGGTCCGGGCACACATTGGCAGCCTTTAAATACTCTTTACTTTTTAAACACCTACAAATACAGCGGGCGGTCAGAGCGGTGGAGACGGTGGGAACGGTGAAAGCGGTGGAGGGGGATGAAGGTGGTGTGGTTGGTGAGGGCGGTGAGGGCGGTGTGGGTGGTGGGGGCGGTGTGGGCGGTGTGGGCGGTGTGGGCGGTGGGGGCGGTGGGGGCGGTGTGGGCGCGGGGGGGTCCGGGCACACATTGGCAGCCTTTAAATACTCTTTACTCTTTAAACACCTACAAATACAGCGGGCGGTGAGAGCGGTGGAGACGGTGGGAACGGTGAAAGCGGTGGAGGGGGATGAAGGTGGTGGGGGGGTGGGCGGTGAGGGCGGTGTGGGCGGTGGGGCTGGCGGTGTGGGCGGTGTGGGCGGTGTGGGCGCGGGGGGGTCCGGGCACACATTGGCAGCCTTTAAATACTCTTTACTCTTTAAACACCTACCAGCGGGCGGTGAGAGCGGTGGAGACGGAAAGCGGTGGAGGGGGATGAAGGTGGTGGGGGTGGTGAGGGCGGTGAGGGCGGTGTGGGCGGTGTGGGCGGTGGGGGCGGTGTGGGTGGTGTGGGCGTGGAGGGGTCCGGGCACACATTGGCAGCCTTTAAATACTCTTGACTCTTT